CATACAAATCGCTGCACTGACTCCAGGAGCTCATAGGTAAGCACATCTATAGCTACATACCAAAGGGCTTTCCTGGGCACCAGTAAAATGAGTCCCAAACAACCTAGGTAAGTGGCTAGCTAGAAGTTTGTCTTTCAGAATGAATAAATGGCATATAGAAAGACTTAGACCTTTTTTCCCCCCTACCTTTACTCCATACAATTAAGAACTTCGATTCCCAATCTAGATTGTAAAAAGGAACTAATTTTCAGAGAACATAGTCCTGGCAGCTCTTGTTTTCCTTTCTGAATACTGGTATTGCCACGCTGGTGAATACCTAGCTCTATCTCCAGCATCGTTTATGCCAGCAGCTTCAGAGGAGGTTGCAAAAGACTCTCTAATGTCGGACTAATCTCACCCAGTGGAAGAGTTTTATCTGAACTCTCCTCCTTGTTGCTAGGAATAGCAAATCCTCCTCAGAATAAAGCTGAACTCCGGGTTCCAATGATGCTACATGTCAGAGGGTACCAGTGGTTAATGAGACAAGGTTTTGAAATGTTCCTTACTTTGTCTCATTATCTTTATTATAAACACATCTCTTACCTTCCGGTCACACCAGGCTTCCTAGTGAAACAGAAAAAGGTACCATTATCTGTATCACTTTTACTAATTTACCAAACCGTTCTCTTTTCTGTGTTCATCTCTTTTCCTGTCTGTGCCGTACAGCTCCCTGAAACCTCTCTCCTCTCTGCCCCTATTAATGTATTGATTTGTCATTGCCCTTCCTCTGTGTCCACTAGATAGCTTGAAGGATGAGTGACTAAAACTGAGCAATGTTCCAAAAGGATAATATGGGGATATTTTCAGAATTTATCTTCTGCTCTGCATTATGCTAGCGTTGAGGTTACGGAGGGACTTTTCTCGTATTGGTTGTATTTCTGTTCAGGAGACTGCAGTCTTGCAGTCCTGACGATTCCTTTCTACATGCATTAATTTACATTTACCAATGTGAACACTGAACCTGAACCCTCTCCCTGATTTTGCCTTTAGAGTGTAAGCTATATCTGCGCAGTCTTTGGCATCTTTCAGTAACATATACCTGTTTGACTGGAAAAAGCACCAGAAGCCATTTACATCTACGCTTGCACGCCTACTCATGGCCCTTACCTAACCAGGTATAAAAATCAGTCGGATGCTTTTGCTTTCTTGATCTTCATGTCAACTACTCCAGCTTTTTGAAAATTATACCAAGTTTTAATTTGCAGGGGCACCTATGTAAAGCGAAGAACAATACAAAATGTGAAGTAGACATGACAGAGTAATTTTGTAAAGATTCTGCCAAGCCACGATCCTCTTCTTCTGACTTGATTTTGTAAATGCCAGGTTTTATAGAACCAGCTTGTTTTTCCACTTCTGTGTTTCTCTCCTGTCCCTTCAGCAACCTGTCTCCAGCAGGACAGCGCGGTTCCCTGGCGTGTGCCGAGGACACTCTGGCTGGGTTTAAACAAAACAAGGCAAAGATCCCGATGTGGCCTGAGGCCAAGGACATGGCACTGCCCCTGTCCTTCTATCTCAGCTTTCTTCCTCCCAGCACAAACTGGTGATGCCCACCCACCCTGCCATTTGGGAGCCGCCTCAAGCGCGGCTGTCCCCAGCGCTGTCCCGGGAAGTCTCGGGGGTTGCTGGCCGGCGGGAGCCAGCGCTGTGCCGGGGACAGTGCCAAGAGAGCACGGCCGCAGTTGCATGCCAGCGCTTCAGCCAGGGGCCCAGGCCTGTTTCCTGGGATAAACTGAAGCCCGAATGCCTGAGCAAGCAACACAAAAGAAAAGAGAACTGGTTCTCACTTTTCTTCTTTTGGATGAGTTTAAATTACAAAAAAAAGTCACTAGAGCAGATCCTTTTTGCCACGGAAAGGCCAGGTTAGGAAAGAGGGCTGGAGTCTCTGATGCGTGCAATTCACCCGTGAGGCAGGAGGAAACCTTTTTGTTTTCTGACTGTAGTTTCGGTCCCTGGATGGCCTAACCCTTGACATTGCTTCCCGAAGCTAGGAAGCTGCTCTGCTGTCTCCTGCAAGCTGCTGTGGTGGCCCAGGGCCTGCTCGAGCGGCTCTGCCGTGCCTCCGGACCCTGAGGGATCGTCCCGGCCTTGCTGTGTCCCAGCAGTGCAGGGTAAGCAGAATGAGGGCAGCAGGCTCAGCTCCCGGGGTGACAAAGTAAGGGGTGGAGGGGGAGACTAGAGAGGGTTACTTTGTAAAATATCGCTAAGCCATTCAACTGCACGCTTACTAAGGCGCGAGACCTTTATATTAGCTAAATGCCTTGTTTTGCGTGATGGGAGGAAAAGTATTGCTTACGTTAAAATTTTATTTCATTCTGAAAGCGGCCAGCCACAAATTTTGAGGTGTGGTGAGGGAATAACATGATTATCTTTTTTATGCAAGGGTTGTCATGAGTGATAATCAAAAGGTTCCCTTCTTACCTTAAAGATCAAGCTCCGGGAGCACATGAAAGTTAATTCCTTGGTCCCAGCAGCTTGGATCAGAATACCAGAGGTATGCACCGAAATTCTGGAAAATGAGGAGCTTCCTAAGGAGAGCGTGGAGCTATTCTGAGTGTGGCAAGAGACGGTACAAAGCACAGGAGCAGAGCCCAGGATACCCCTCCAGACTTCACGCATTTCCCTCTAAAAAGCGGCCACGTGGAATCCCATCTTGAGGTTGTACATGATCTGATCGAGCTTTACTCTTTCACGAGGCAGTGACAGAAGGAACTAGCGCTTGCTCAAAAAGGAGATACGGGAGATTCAGACATAAAGGCAGGTGTCCTGACTGTGGTGGTAGGGTCTTCTGGGTGCAGCATAACAGTGGGGGCTGTCCCACTGTGTGAGTGGGAATGTGGGGGCTGTCCCACTGTGTGAGTGGGAATGTGGGAGTCTCGCCACCAGAAGGAGAATCCAGGCTGCTGGAGGGATCGCTTAGTGCTGGCTCTGAATTGCTGCAGAGCAGAAGGTGGAGCTGCAGGTAGGAGAGTGCCTACCCTTGTTTACACGCAGGAAACATTGCAGTACAAATGCAGGCACTGTATGGGTTTAGGCAGCTCCCAGGTTGGGTAGCTGCTGCCAACATCAGCTTTTTGGATTGCTTTCTTGAACGTAGACACGTTCTACCGAAGTAAAATTCTTTTTTAGTCTTTATTTGCCCTTACCCAAAATCAATTAACTTGCAGCTCCACAGGATTTGGTTTTCTAATCCAACCATGTCATTGATGCAAAACAAGATTTTTTTTTCCTCCTTCAGATTCTTTTCTAGTAGCTTCTTCTTTCTTGCCCTCTTAAGTGTGTGCCTGAATTCTCTGCATCTATTTATAAGGGCTTCCCCACTTCCAGGAGTGTTTAATCAAAGAGAAGGCTATCAGCAGGTGGTTAGCATCAAATGTCAGCAGCTACTTTGTTTCTGACATCTCTTGGAAAAAATGTTTCATTACCATGCAAACGATGTTAGTCTTCCTTTCCAAGATCCAGTGTCACACGGTGTAACATATGGTACACCGAATTGTGCTCCCAAGGTTTATGCAGCAACTACATTTCATAGCAGAACAACAATTGTGAGAGCTAAACCATCAGATGACAGTCATCACTGCTTCCCAATGAGCGGGTGAATATTTCTGTATCTCATGGTTACGCTAACCTCTGGGGTGGGGGCGGATGGGGGCACTTATTTCTGCTTTCTTTTAAACCCTTCCATTTTTCTTTAGCTTATGTCAGAAATATCACAGTGCCTTTCACAGCCTATGCCAGACAGAATAGCCCAGCAGCTTTTAATGGGTGCTATTATCTTCCTTGAGTATGTCCGGGAAGGAAATTATTCAGTTGATACTTGGAATGGCAATGTCTTGAACTACACAAAGCAAATTGAAGCTGCTGACCTCTCGGGGAATTTTTGGAAGTGCCAATAACGGTAGTAGGAACTCAACTTTTCCAAGGGCCCGAAACCTTGTAAGCAGAGTAGGAGAAACCTATGAGGGGTTTGATTCATCCGGGCACTGGAGCACAGTTCAGTGACTTCAGCGGGGCTTCGGGAAGCATTTAGAGTTAAGCATATGTTTGGGTGAATTGTTAACCTCAAGCGTGTGATCAAGTGCTTTGCTGACTCAGGGACGAGACATTCCTTACCGCTTGTTGTTTTCCACTTTGCCATCTGGGAAGAAGCAGCTTGACAGCACGTGGGCTGTGTGAGACGTTATTGCCTTTCTGAAAGGGGATTAACAGCCTTGAAGTTTCCAGGTTCTCTCAATTGGGAATTTTTATCTCCACAGATCTAACTAGGGTAGAACAACCTCACTGTAGTGTTTTAAAGCAAAGTGACCATGCCACAGCATTTGCTAGGTCATCAGTCAACCTGTGCCTAATTAAAATAATCTCGTGTTTTAGTGGAACTACTGAAGATGCAGGTGGAAAGCTTTACAGAACCTGCAGGGTTAGGGCATGAAATTGCCCTTTTCGGATATTTTAGGGAGTCTGCTTTGCACCCGGACAACTGTAAGAACCCAAATTTGCAAACAGTTTTAATTAGAGTCATCTCTTCACTACACCCCTTTTCTGAGCCGGGGGAGCATATCTGTATTTACATGAAATAAATGTTACAGGCTGTTAAGACAACTCACCCTCATGCTGCAGGCAGGTAGTGCAACAGAGTGGGTAACGCAGACCTGTTCTTGCATTTGTGGGAGAAGTGCAAGGTATCTCGATCTCTCAGTATTCTCCAAATGTTTTTAACTTCCCCCAAATACTAGGGGTTCACCTGAAAAATCTCCCATATCACGCTCCGATCTGGTCAGCACACAACCTTCCTTCTCTAATCCGATACCATTCCAGTCTGCCATGTAACACCCTTGACCCAAAAGCCATTTTATATATACTGTTGTGCTGCTTTGCGTTTTTGATGAATGCTTACAGAAGAATGAATCTTTATTGTAACCAAATGCATTTCTCTGTGGGAGCTCTTTTCTTTTATTATTCTTTTCCAGCGACAAAATGTTCCCAGCCTTTGGATTTGGAGCAAGGATACCCCCAGAATACAAAGTAGGTGCATAAATGACATTTTCTAGTTTCCTTGGTTTATGAGGCACAAAATAAGGGAGAAATGGTCCAGGGCAGGGCAGGGGCTAGCGGGAGCAGTTCCTACTGTTTGTTTTCTTTCATCTGGCTTTCTCACCCGGTGATACCTCACTGAAACCAGAAATCAAGGCTAGACTTAAAATAGTTGTGCTACACTCAAAATATTTCATGGTATTGGCAAAGCTTTGTTAATGGATGCTAGTCTAGTAAGGGGAGAACTGATTTTTTGAACAACACTTGCCAAGCATATTTTGAAGCTTTGTGAGCCCTGGTTTGACACAACCCATTTTTGGAAGATGTGGTTCAGTGAGCAGCCTAGTGTCCATGCCTTATGATGAAGAGATTTATAATCTTTCTGAAAAGAAACAGAAGAGTTTTGCTCTGTGGCAATTTTCTGTGTCACGGTGGACATCGTCAATACCAGGAAGAGAAACAGAAGAGCATGTATCCGTGCTGGAGAGAAATGGTATTATAAATAAAAAAAAAGAAAACAAGAGTGATCCACAGTGATGGTGCAATTGTGAGCGTAAATACGCGGTCTGGTAGGGCTGGAGTGAAGAGAGTGGAGTGGAAGAAGGAGCATCCAACAGAGAAAGGCCTAAGAAGAAATAGGCAGAAGTTCAAATCCTGTGTTGCACATGCAGAGGGAGCATGGGCAGAGGAGTTGTTCTGCACAAATAAGTAACCAAAACCCAGGTGGGGATTCTGCAACTGAGATACAACCTGGAAAAGAACAGCATGAGACTTCTGATCATGCAGACCCCATCCAGGATCCCCGTGTCCCCTGCTCTGGGTTGTGTCTCTCAGCTGTGGCTGGGGTAGGGGGGTGAACACTGGCCAGGTGAGAATTTTTGTGCGGGGTGGGATCATGTGTCACTGGGCATCGCAAAGCACGAATCAGCAGATGAAAAAAATGTACCCGCGTGTTCTTCATGGCTCGTCGGTTTGATACCTGCATAAGAATAACAGTAGTGATGTACGGCAAATCCGATACGTGTCTTGCAAACAGCTGTCTAAGGTAAGTCAAGGTATGTCTTAACAACATTGCCTTCTAAGCTAAAAAGCACTTATAAAAAAGAGGACTGTGCCTGACAAGGTGTTTTGCACTGCTCTGTTCCTGAAAAGTAACACCAGTGTTAATGCTTTCCAAAATCGGAGACAGCTTCCAGAACTTTGATACAGATTTTAATGTGGTAAATGCGCGCAGAACATCTGTGTCTGTTGTGTATCTCTTCCAACCACGGCAGCTGACAACCATCTCTGCTGTAGAAGGGAGAATGTTTTGGAGAATAAATAGCAACAGCTTCTGCCACCAGACACATTAGTGAAACGCAACAGCTGCTTCCCAAATGTCTACCCCTTTGCCACGAATATGTGCCTCCCTACCCATGACTGTATAGCAGCGTTGACGGGGTAAGTTGGACTATAGATGACAACCAGATCGCTCTTTCAAGCCCAGTACCGGCCATCACCAGCAATGCCGTGTACTATTGTGATTGTCCTAAACAAAGGTATCAGCCTGGTGTTGTGCCAGGGCTGGTTGTTCCATCATCTGTGAGGTGACCATCACAGCATGGGGGAGAACTTGCAATCCTTTCCACTGCAGAGAGCCATCCTTACCTAAGGACTGCTTGAAGGACGATGGTACTGCCTTGGTTTCGTGCTGTTGGAGCTCCTGCCCATAGCCTGGGCTGGGTGCTGGAGGGCGGTATCCACCTGTCCGTTTAGAGAGATTCTAGCCTCCTCACATCCTCTTACATGCTACAAGGAAAGTAATGTTTGCTATGCCAACTATTATATCCCAAGGAAAAATACCCCCCCGCGCGTTTTACATTAGCGCTTCAGAACAATGTCAGTATCCACCTCTGCAGGCTCTTCATGCATCTCTTTAGATTGAACCCCTTAAAAAACATGGTTTTATATATGCTTTCTACAGAATTCCCATTTCAAGAGCACACCACTATGTTACGCTGACTTTATTTTCCCTCATTTCAGCTCCAAATGAAACACTTCAGCTGTTAGCAGAAAACCAGCAGTTTCTTAGCGGCGTACGGAATCTGTGGCAGTGAAGGAAGCAGGACGTGCCATATATAACATTCCTCATCAGCCTAGAGATCTTTCACACAATACTAGGCAACATGATCTTTTTTCCCCAAGGCCTGACAAATACATCACCCCGCTCCTTGATCTAAATAAACCCCCGAGAGCAGTATTTCCCCCCTTGAGTTTCTGTCACACAAAACTTGCACAACATGCCGGTCATTCCACAGCAATGTCTCCAACCCATCACTTTTTTTTTTTTTTTTGGCAATGAGAAGAAGCATCTGAGAAGTCTGATGTAAAGTGAAGAGGTGGCAGATGATATGGACTCAGAGACTGCCGCAAAAGGTCACAGTGAAGAGGAGGAAAGCAAGCTGAGCCACACACTAATTTCTTCGCAGGCAGAACTCAAAGGAGCTGAAAAACGACACAGCAGCACAAAACTTACTGTTAAAATGAAAAGAAAGTTAGAATTATGTCAGCCCCATGACAGGTGTATTGCCAATAACGAAGCGTTCTTTGCTAAAGAAGAATTGCAGGCTGACACCTGAATAGGTGCGAAACAACTTGCAGTTTGTTTTAAGACAGTCCTGGCTATTTCTGCATTTTTAACGAAAGTTTCATTCACTGCTTACGCTGGGAAGAGTTCCTGGAGCGAACCTCACTGCAGCTACGGAAACAGTAAAGCACCTTTACCACCCTCGCCTGCACTGTCTGCCTTGCTGGACAGGTGAGGGACTTGAAAAGTGCCGTGATCTTTGTGATTCCTGCACTTGTCAGGAGCTTGAGGGCAAAAAATCTATGCAAACCTGACAAAAAGGAACCGATAGAAGGATGTGTAATGGACCAAGGGAAAAAACAGAATTTGTCACCTTATCCACACAACTTGGATTTAGATGTGGAAACTGGGCAGCGCGCTCAAAAATCAAGTACAGAGGAAAATAAACGGCCGAGCTTTGCCAAGCAGAAATGTCTACAATGGGGTCTTAGCCAGAGACACAGGCTGTCCAGCTCCCAAACTATTTGATTAATGAGCGTTCTGAAAATAATAGCTTTTGAGTAATGGTTCTTTAAATTTGTTAGTGTCTTAAGCTTTTCCAAAATATGCAGGCGTTCCGTATTTAATTTTCTGACTGGCAGTGGCTTAATAGTATTCAGTTTGTTCAGCGATAAGTGCTCAACATTATGCATCTCAGCATTTACACTTGTATGTATCTGTTGTTCAGGGATTTTTGACAATTTCTATTTAAATTAGTAAGAAAGCATTCCTAAACATGCCTGAATTTGTCAGATTATTTGTCAGGTAATCCCAGTGCCATCACCATAGAGGTTTCTGGAAAGCTGGAGCTATTTGGGACAGGGAGGTTAATTTAAATTAATTCAACGATCTCAAGAGGGAAAAAAAGGGTTACTAATTTTCCGAATTCAGGCATCCATATTCAACATTTGCAAAATGAATGAAAAAGTGGTTTCTGAGTTAAAGCAGCTTTTTATTTAAAAAATGAAAGTTCAGTTAGAGTAAAAGGGGTTTAAAAATATGCGGAGGCCAAAATAGAATGCAACATAAAGAAAATACCTTTGCGTAGAGTCCAAAAGCTTTGCAGCAATTTGCTGTATGATTTTGTGGGGTTTTATTATTTGTCAGATTCCAAGGTAGGGTTTGTGTTTGTATTGTGAGGTTTCTATCTGAGTCCAGAGGACTTCTTTTTTTTAAGAAATATCAAACATTCTCATTAATTAGGAAATCCTCCTTTCCTTTCAGCCTTAATTAGAAACCCATTTAGCAAAGGCCATGCTATGAGGTTGAACTTCATTACATCCCAATACAAGGGAAATAAGTCACCTGCTCCGTTAAATCAAGGTGACTTTTCTACTAAACTGGTCATAAGCATGTAGAAGTATGGTTATGATTCTTGGAAGAGCCTGGCGGGCACCATCACGTGGATGGACAACTGCCTTTCTGGATGCAGGTGCTTGTCACTGTGTATGTACAGGCAACGGAGGCATTGCACAGTGGTAAAAAAAAATTACTGTAATCTGTCTGAGCAACAATATTTTAGACAGTTTGTTTTTTTGATGTATCCTCAGAAATGCTGTTGCTGTAGTCTACATCATGATGTATGGTAGAGCTACTTATTTTGCTTGCTAAAAACCTTGAAGAAATTACCTGAGAAATAATATGTTCCTCGTGCAGGAAGCTCCTGGACAGCTGTGTTTTAATAATCCCACATCCCTGATGGTATCTGCTAAATAATTTATCTGGAGTCCTGCAGAGGGAAAAGATTAATACATAGCCAAGAGCAAGTAAATGTCCTTAGTTTGAGGCTTTGAGTGGTGTTTTGTGCAGCAACCCAGGTAATGCCAGCCCGATCACATGTAATCACCTCTGCGCTCCAGAATTTCTTTCGCCTTTCCTTTTACAGATTGATTTTATGGATTGATGTGAAGAGAGAGAAGGAGGGCTGAGCAGAGGGTCAGCTACATAGGCAAAACTTAAGCCAGGGGCCGTGACACAATCACGGTTGTGTAAGGACATTCCTTATCGTGAAGCTGACCTCCACCACAGACCATGGTCTGCAGTTCTTTGCAAAGTTCTCTGTGCCGGGTACTAATGTAAAGCGGTTATTCTGTGTTTGCGTGGCTTGACACCTTCCAAGATTTCCTGACTGCCAGATTGATCTATCATACAAACCACCCTAGTAGATTATACAAACAGGCTTGCTTCTGGACAGGCAAGTGTCTTCTTGTTTCCCCTGAGGATTTCCCAGGCTTCAGCATCTTAGATGTTCACATTTTTGCCTCCTTTTCCCCATTAGTTTATCAGTTCTGGGAGTGCATGAGGACTGTGTCATTCAATATCAGAAAGACGCCATTTAGTATATCAGCTTTTGGTCCTCTGTCATCAGCATGGTTTGCCTTTCAGTCACAAAAGCCCTTGCACCTTTAATTAAAAAAAAAAAAAGGAGGAAAAGAGGGAGGCTCATTACCTTGCAGTATTTTGAAAAGCATTGAATGTTTGATCGAAACCCCCTTTTGACATGGGTGGGCTTTACGTGGAGTCCCATCAGGTAGCAGCCCAAGTTCAGTACATATCATGTGTCTGAAGTCTCTGCTGTTTTGGACCCTCTTGAATTCTGGCCACCCCAGGGGAGACAGCCCAGGGGCAAGTTGAAACACAGCTGGTTTTGCTTACCTGAGCGGGGAATGAGGTCGGAGCATTTGGAGAAACCCTGCTGTAAAAATACCTGCTGTTGGCTTGCCTCGGGTGATGCTTTCCTGTTTGTGAACCACCACTGAGCTGCTCAAAGACCTTCTCTCCTTCACATTATGCTTAAATCTTGCTTAAATTGTGATATATTGCTCAGAGAGCATAGGAAACAACCCAGTACTTGGCACGTTCATTGTGTTTCCTGTCCTGCCTTCAGGATACATTTTAACGGTGTTCTTGGTCAATCGGGATGAAAATGTATGAGGGCCACTTGCTTTGGGAGGATAGCAGCTGTTGCTCAGACAGTATTAGTTTTTGGACCATTGTGCATACTTAACTAGACTTGGACTTTCCTTAATGGCC